AGATGCTATAAGACTGAGGGTCCAGGCAAAATATTTTTCTTTTTTTGTAGTTAAACTGGAAGCCTAAATTGCACCATTTCCTTGAAAGCAGCATGTCAGGTTTTGATTGTGCCATTTAAAAGGCCCTATAAACACACTCAAAGCCTGTCATCACAGCAGCCAGGGGTTCAAATCAGCCAGAGGCCACATAGGAACATGGAGTGTTACTTCAGCCTCATCGCGAGTGGGACATTCTCCAAACAACCCTGCAGCTGGATACATACCAGCAGGCGTTAGTCACTGGAGACTCAGACCCGGCATAGCAGGGGGTGTTGCACTTCTGTCCATTCCCTGTCTGTACCTAGCTCTATCAGGCCGCCTTATTCATGACCACTTCAAATGATAAGGACAGATTCTGTGCTGATGTAAATTCACTGGTGCTATGTCTGGTTGCATCAGCTGAGGATCTGGTCCATACCCTGTTCTTTTTTGGTGAATGCAGTGACTGAATTGTGTTTGTTACAGTACGGTTCATGGAAGCGGTGAAGGTTTCTGCAGCCGAGTTCTAACCAAGGTGTACAATATTTTAATCTCAGGGCATCAAACCCCTTATGACTGTATTCAGTAAGCCAAAACTCTGCTCCCATTGACACCACGAAAGGATTGCTGCCTGTGGCCCATTAACCCATATGCTACACTGTACATTAGGGTCCAGGAAATGTTACTCCAAAGATGTGTCTAATAGTGAAATTGCTCCCAGGTACCTGCCTTCATGAAACAAGGACCAAGAAACACACTGGTCTAACCAGCCCCCAGGAACCACGGTGGTGGTAAACTCCTTCCATGCTGGCTGGGGGTATGGGCTTCGAGGGGGCGGCGGGCAGGGTTAGGGTTGAGACTGGGTAGCTCACACTCCCTGGGAGTTTCCATTCCCGGCAGGCTCACTCCCAGGGCGCACGCTCTGGATGATGTCGCCCTGTTTCCCTCCTAGAGCGCAGGTTGGTATCTCCCCGTTGCCATGGGAACCTGCTGTTTTGAAATCCTGCTTCCAGAGGTGCAGCAGCAGGAGCCGAGCAGGTAACGGCTCAGGCAGCGCCCCCGGTGTGCAGCGCCCTGCTGCCCCGCGTCAGGGTGAGGAGGGGGCGGCCTGCGGGTCAGGGTCACCGTAGCCAGTCTGTGGAGCAGGGTATTGTTTAGGGAAGGGAGGATTTCTTGCCGTATTGTCCTTTGTTCTGTATTGCTGGGGTTAGTGCTAGCTGGGAAGGTGGGGGAAGTTTGGGGGATTGGAGGGTGCCGCTGCTGTTTCCTGGCTAGCTGTGTGCTAGGGCAGGAGCTCAGTCAAAGCTCACTCTTATCTCCCACAGGGTGAGCTTTATTATTGTCACTCTTGGGAAGGACCAAGGTGGAGATGATGCCCAGAGAGGTTCTCTCATTGGCCTGCTAAACCCAGGGTTGTGAGTTCAATCCTTGAGGGGGCCACTTAGGGGGATCTGGGGCAAAATCAGTATGTGGTCCTGCTAGTGAAGGCAGGGGGCTGGACTCGATGACCTTTCGAGGTCCCTTCCAGCTCTATGAGATAGGTATAGGTAGGTATATCTCAATACCGCGGCTGTGCAGTGGCCTGTGGGAAGCTGAGCGACAGGAAGGCTGGTAGGGGAAGGTAACCACTGAGACGTTCCCAAGGTGATAAAACAAGGTTGAAAAACAAGATCTCGGGGAGGGGGGGGCAGATGAGATTACTGGGGAATCCTGCCTGTTTGGCCAGAGACAAGTGCAGATGATTTACCCTTGTGCTGAACCTTCTTTGACCCTACATGGTACAAGGTACTGGTACCGTGTTCTATGAGTAACAAAGCTTTGGAGCGCTGCAGTTACTAGATGGGCAAACAAACCGTGGAGAAAACCCTCACTCAAAGCTGTGGCAATGCTGGAAAAGGCAGCAGTGGGGAGTGAGTTTCATGAATGGTTGGTGTGGCGTGTACAGAACCTAGACCTCAGACGCAAGATGTTCAACGTCAGCTGTAAGGGTAAGCTCACTTCTGTCAGTAACACATTTATCACCACCTAGAGAAGCTCGTTGGGAACGAATGCAATCCGGCTGCTTGCCATCCGGACCTGCTGGTGACACAGTCATACAAACCGCTTTGGTCACCTAACAGCAGATCAGGCAGCCAAGAACAGCCAGGAACCAAGTCCCATAGAAAATGGTTTCAAGCACTGGAGGCCACATGATCACAGAGTATTATTGGAGCAGAATATGTGGTCACTTGGCCAAAGCCTATAAAGGTCCACAGGCAAGAAACAGGTTCAGCAACCAAACGGATCCTGCTTCCAGTGAACTGCAGCCAATATTTGGACACAACGGTTGGTGGAGAAAGGGAGGCTGTGCCAGGAGCACAGGGCAAATTCTATAAGGAGCTGGTTTTGCCTCACGTCCATGAACCCAGGGCTGTGTGCAGGCTTCCTGGGTACAGGGTCAAATCTTTGGAATGACTGTGAACTGTGGTGTCTTCACTGGTGGCCTGATTATGTTGTTTCCAGCCTGAAACCTGCAATGTACAGCGCCGGTAGGGGCTGCTTTGTAGAACTGCCTGAGACACAGGATGAAAGCCTGTGGGAGCTGCCAGGAAGCAGGATAAATACAGATGACTGCAAATTCAGAGAACCCTCCACAGTCCTGTACTGGCTTCACAGGGGAAGGTTTCCTCCAACAATCAACATTTCCTTCAGGCTGCTGCATCTTACTTTAGTCATTGCCCAATGGCATAAGGTTTTACACGATCAAATATTAAGGGAGGGAACCAAGGAGCAGTGCTCCAGTTCCCCCGACACCTTCATAAAGCGAAAGCGTTTTTGTCCCTGATAAATTACGCTAGTTTTACACTCAGTCAGTGCTCCTGCTGCAGCCCATGTGAGAATCATCGTGGAAAGGGGCTTTCCTGGGAGCAAGTTGCTGCAGACAGCACTAGTAGCCAGACAGCACTAGTAGTTAAGCAGCTAAAGACTAACTGTCTTCCACCCCAATCTTCACCTCTTATAGCCCTAGATTACAGTCATATTGGCATCTTATGGCTCAGCTGTTGGGTCAGGGACCGAAATAACTCTTAAAATGGGATTGATCTGACCAGGGGTTATTCTCAGGTGGAAAAGGAGCTTATTTTTTGGAATCATTAAATGTCATGATTGCCACTAGGGGAGAAAGTTCATCCTGGTCAGGGATCACATCACTTTTTTGGCTTAAAATCTGGGGGCTCCTGAAAAAGAAGAGCTGCTTCTGACCACAGCCTGCCGGCACTGTTGCTGGTAGCGTAGGGGTGTGATATGTGCTATAAGAGAGGAGAAGGTAGATGCAAATGTGGTTATTTGGACTCCCCCAATGGAATAACCCCACTCAGTGGGTGGCCCTCAGGATACACCTGTAACAGTTGTAGAGATTTCCTAAGCCCGCATCTCAAGATGTGGTGGGATCCGCAGTGAAAAACTGATTGGGGACAGCTGGATTCATGAGACTCCCTTGTGACCCTACTGGAATTGTGGAAGCCCAGCTCTGTTTGCTGTAAATAAGAGCTCTTCAGTGTGGATTGGAGATGAGAATTGGAGGCCATATAGTGACCCCTGGGCTGTACCTGAGGTAAGGGTGGCTGTAGCCTGCTCCATTATGTGTGGCAAATTGCCTATGTAGCCTTCAGCTAGGCAAAATTTGGATGCCCTTGGTGTATTGTCTGGAAAGCTAATCATTGTCATGTCCTTTTGCTTTTCCTTCAGGTGAGGTGGATCCAGTATCCTCGAGCCACACGACCATGGACAGAATGACTAGGGACCAGCCCCTGACCAGACAAGAGAAGGTGAAAATTGTGAGCAGTCTCTTGAAGCAGGCTCCGCCTGAAGAATTCTGCGAGGCCTTCAGTGATCTGCGCCTGCTGGTGGGCGATAACAGCCTGATGTGCCAGGAAGCTGCCTCCCTCTGTGCCCTGCACAACAAGCTCTACTTCACCCCAGTCAGGATAAAGGAGTGTGAGGTGCTGCTGACCCGCCACAACGAGCTGGAGGAAGAACACTTCCTTGACTCCCAGAGACAGGTCTCTTTCAAATTTGACCACCTGAGGAAAGAGGCAAGTGAGTTTCAGGCTCACCCACAGGAAGATGAGAAAGGTGAGGCATGGAGAAGGGCCCTCTATGAGGGCCTGAAAGCATACGTCAGCAGCCACTATCCTGGGGGGATTTGCAGTGTCTTCATCAAGGATACAGCCATCCGGAAAATCCTCATCGCCTGCATTGCAAGTCGTCTGCACCAGCCCTCTGCCTTCTGGAATGGCCTGTGGAAATCAGAGTGGACTTTCACCCTGACTCCCACTTCCACTTCCACCCAGGTGGCTGGGACCATCATGGTGCAGGCTCACTACTTTGAGGACGGCAACATCCACTTGACAGTGTGCAAGGATGTGGCAGAGAGTCTGCCTGTCACCACGGAAACCCAGACCGCCCAGGACTTTGTGAAACTGCTGGAGGATGCAGACAACCAGTTCCAGGATGGGCTGATGGAAGAATACCAGAGGATGAGCGATACCCACTTGAAGGCTTTCCGAAGACAGCTGCCCATCATCCACAGCACGATCAACTGGGAGAAAATAGTGACAGCTAAGATAGTGGAAGCACCTGCTGTCCAATGAAAGGCCAGTTTGTATGGGATATCTGAATAAAGTGTTCAGGGAAGGGAGAAAGTACTAAATATCCTATAAAATAAATAGAGAAAAGAAAAATTAGAAAAAAAAATTAGGAGAAAATGAAGGCCAGAAGAGTTCTGTGGTGTCAAGAGCCAGGGTGCTCTCCTGGGAGGTTGGGAGATCCAAGTGGAGGTGTTCTGCTGACCATGCTGAGCGCAGGATAAGTGCTCACACAGATCAATAAGCAGTCACATTGTGTGTCAGCTTGTTGATAAAGTGGGGGGAGTTCTAAGAAGAGCAACCAAATTGATGAGTGGGCTTCAGAGAGAGTGTGGTTTAATGATAGAGCACTGGACAGCACATGCCCTCTGTCTCCCCACCTCTCAGGCTCTTCAATACACAAGACCCTAGTTACGTAGTACACCCGTTCTTGGGGACTAGTTTATTAGCATATCAAAACTTAAACAGTCTCTCTTCCCAATCCCTCAGTGGGACATGGTTCTTCCTTTCTGTGGCCTGGCTGCTTTGTCCTTTCAAGCCATCTTTCTCTTCTCAGCCTCCTTCCGGACAAATACCGTTTCTCAGTCTCCCACTAGACCATGGGTCGCCGCTTGTGTAGGGAAAGTCCCTGGCGGGCCGGGCAGGTTTGTTTACCTGCCCCGTCCGCATGTCCGGCCCATCGCAGCTCCCACTGGCCGCGGATCGCTGCTCCGGTCTAACGGGGGCTGCTGGAAGCGGCACGGGCTGAGGGACGTACTGGCCGCCGCTTCCAGCAGCTCCCATTGGCCTGGAGCAGCGAACCACAGCCAGTGGGAGCCGTGATCAGCCGGGCCTGCGGACACGGCAGTTAAACAAACTGACCCGGCCCGCCAGGAGCTATCCCTACACAAGCGGCGTCCCAAGTTTGGGAAACACTGCTTTAGAGAGTCATGGAGTTTCCCAGGACTCTTTTCTTGGGGCTTCAGTCTTGAAAAACTTTCAGGCTGCTCCTTGAAGGCTTATCAGCCTGCTTCTCTCAGGACCTCAGCCCCAGCTTACTCCCCCAGACTGCTCCTGACTGCCAGGCCTCACTTCTTCCTCCTGGTGAAGCAGACTTGACTACTAAGTCTATAATCACTACCTATTATATTCCTTATACACTCATATATACACACTCCAACCACTATATTCCTCATACACTCTTACCCTGCTCTATAGCCTTAGACATTAGTTGGGCTTTTTTTAATGTTACCCCATGTCCCAGCACTCTCCCTAACCCCCTCATGGTGTATTCTGTCACCTTAAAGCATTTAAATTCTTCATCAAAATCCTTTTCTGGGAACACGCCCTGCATTCCCCTATCTGGGGATCAACTGTTTAACATTCCATGAGTTATATAACCCCTTTTTGTCTCTCGTCAATAATGATAAATTATCAAATCACATTCTTCCTTTTAGCCCTTTGGAGTAGCACATTATCCTCTGTTTTGGGGCATACTTCATAAAATCTTCTTCCTCTTGGTCCACAATTCTTGCTATTCCTTTTTTAACCAAACTTAAATTCCTGCTTACTCAAAGGAATCTTTAAACCAATTTCTCCATTTTTAAAGCATTTCTTCTCTTCCTTCTCTTCCATTTCCTTGCCAGGTATCCCAGCATGTGCTGGAATCCATCTAGTATTATGTTCACGCTCAAGCATGCTAGTGTTGTTGTCAACAGCTTTTCATTTATTAGCTCACTTCTGCTTTCTGAGATACCCCTTTTAATTGCCAGTATACCCCATAATGCATCTGAAAAGATAACAGTGGTGGAAGATTGTATGTCCCTTATGTTAGCATTATTATCATCAATTCAGCTGTCATCATGGCTACAAAATTAGATAGTCTTTTAGATTTCTTAACTCCAGTCTCAGGGATGCAAAAGGCTATTCCCACTCTGTTTTTTCAACTTTAGATCCATCAGAGAGAGAGAGAGAGTGTACACACACACACACACACTCACTCACATTCGGCAATGGTGACCCCACTTTGAGTGTAACTCAAACTTTATCTGTTTTACAGGAAGACTTTTTCTCTTTATTTTATTATATAATTCTAAATCCACATCTGGAGAAATATTTCATAGAAGATTAGGATTGGAAGAGACCTCAGGAGGTCATCTAGTCCAATCCCCTGCTCAATGCAGGATCAACACCAACTAAATCATCCCAGCCAGGCCTTTGTCAAGCTGGGCCTTAAAAACTTCTAAGGATGGAGATTCCACCCAGGGCCGGACTGCTGCCTGAACTGCCAAAGCAAAAAAAAGGGCCTGGACTGTGCCGCTCCAAGAATGGACGGAATGCCGCCCCTTAGCATGTGCCGCCCCAGGCATGTGCTTCCTATGCAAAAAAAAAAAAAAAAGACCGCGATCACAATTGCGATCGGCGGCACTGTGGCGGCAGCTTCACCATGCCACTTTCTTCTTCGGCGGGAATTCGGCAGCAGGTGCTTCCCTCCAAGAGGGACGAATCGCCGCTAAACAGCCCGACGTGCTGCCCCTTCCCCTTGGCTGCCTCAAGCACCTGCTTGCTGGGCTGGTGCCTGGAGCCGGCCCTGCCTAAAACCACTTTGCGCATTATTTAAGATGTCATTTTTTCCAACTATGCAACTAGCCTCTCATTTATCATTCTCGTCTCATAACTTTACTCACACAAGATATGATAACAATTGGTCTATAAGCATCAATTCTCATAAGTAACTTGGCTGGCTTCCTTATTGGTACTATCACCAGATGCTTCCATGCTACTGGTATTACTCCTTTTCTCATATATTATATAATTTTAATAAAATCCTGAAACTCCCTGCAGGTCAGTAATCGAGAAAGCATTATATTACATATACTATCTTTACCAGGGGCTGTGTTTTTATTTTTGTCTAACTTTTCTGAGTTCCTGCATACTGAAATTTTCATTCAGTATCTCATCATCATTTCCCCAACCATTTAAGAGCTCAGTTTTCTTGATCAAATTTTCTCCTCCCCACCCCCTGAAAATCTGTACTTGGATTCTTCTCAATACTAACTTTCCAGAACACTTCTGCTAGGATTTCTGCTTTTCTTTTGTTAGAATTTATAACTCCATCCTCTTCAATAGGATCAGGGCCAAAAATACCTGTTATTGCCCCATGTTCTAGTCATTTTCTTAACTTGCTTGCAAATCTCAGAAACCTTGGTATTTGTTTTTAATTTTCCCATAATACTCCTTTCAACTCTTGTTTAGTCCTCTTATTAATTTTGTGCCACTGCCTTTCTTCTTTCATATTTTGCCCAGTCCTCACTGTTCACTCTAGTTTAGCTTTTCTATATGCCTTATTTCTTCAATTACAATCTCGTATTCCTCCACAGAACTGTGTTTCTGATTTTAGAGCAATTTGTTACCTTATGAATAGCTACTTCGGCTGCTGCCACAATTCCCTTTATCGTGTTATCACTAAATTCCTCTATATTATCACTTACATACTTATTACTCAGGCATTCATCACACATACGTCTGAAGAACTCCCAATCAGCCCTTTTAAAATTCCAAGTCAGAGTACCTCCAGTGTCTTCAATATTACCCTTGCCTTGGTACATAAGTGTAGGGAAATGATCAGTACTCATTCCCTCTTCCTGGTAAATTTACCAGTTACATTTACTAGCTATATTGCTTGTTGCAATTCCCAGTGCCAAATGGGAAAAGGAACCCAGTAACTGAGCTAAACCTCGTTGGTGCTCTGTTATTTAGTATTACCAGATTGTGTTAATCAATAAACTTTTCCAAACATTTGCAATTGCTGTCCAATTTCCCAGTTTCCCATAACTCGTTATGGCTATTCAAATCTCCACATATAACATATGGACCTTTTACTTCTCTAATGAGCTCTTTTAATTCTGAGTACTCCAAATTTTTATAGGTCCTTAAAGTAGTGTTTTTATTCTGCATTGGAACCTCTATAGTAGTGTACTCAAAACTGAGTTTCTTTACATTTATTTCAACATTAATTTATAAAGGAAAATAAGTTATTTCTCTATCATATCTGACTGTACCATATCCTGGGACTTTAAAAAGACAACTTTTCCATTAATCACGTTTCCACTATACATAGAACATCAGGCTTGACCTTCATTTCAAAAATAGTCTTCTTTAGTTCCTGACCATGTGCTATTAAGCGTTGCGCATTCCCACAATTTCTTTTAGCACCATATTAGTTAAACTGCAGTATTGCTCTCACACAAAATTGCATTAACATGCAAATACTTTTCTGCAGCTTTTATTATCTGTATTCTTTCTGTTCTTTTCTGTTTGTGAAGTGCAGTTGATTACTTCTACCCTAAATGCTACAAATGCCATCTTGTCTACAAATAGGTCTTCCCCTACTACTCTTATATTATTTACCATATCCTTTATAGCACTGTGTTGTAGAAATGGTTCCTTCCCCTTATTGGTTTTCTCCTCCTCCGTTCCCACCTGTCACTTTGAATGCCTTTTAGCAGCTTTTGCATAAGATATCTTGTTGGTAATCCTGGTTCTTTGCATCTCCCTAGCCTGTTTAGCTACCCTGAATCCTCCATAAGCTACTGTTCTTATCCCCACAGGTTTCATATGAATGCTCCTCTACACATTTACCATAGCTTGTGTTTCTCCTTTATACACATCTGTCACATGGCCAAATTTTTGGCACTTGTAACATCTCAAAGGCCAAGGAATGTATGGGTTAGTCCAAAATATAGGCTATCCTAGCTTTACCCCATCAGGTAAAACCCTTCCTCCAAGTGTTATTTGCACAGCTGTTGATGGTTTGTTCTCTCCCACCTTCTACTAATTAATTGCTTGATGAATAGCACCTGGGCCCACCTATACCTTTTAAAATTTGATCCTCTATCATTTCCAATGGGACCCCATATATTACCCCAGTTGTTTCTGTCAGAAATTTTGGGGGCTGGCAATCCATTTTTATTTTCCCAAGAATTTTAGTTTTAAGCAGTTTCTCAGCTTGTGCTTCACCAGTACACTCCACTAATAAGTCTCCACCCTGTAATATTCTAGCTCTTGATATAGCCCTAACATTTTCCTAATCCATTTAGCTATTTGCAAAGGATTAATGCCACCTATCTCCACTTCCTTACCCAGCAATTTGACAATTGCAATGTTTTGGCATTCTACCCTACTCTTTGTTCCCTATTCCCTACTGCTTCTTCTGATATTTCTCATCTTTTTCCTACTTTGCACCCATTCTTCATTCCTAGCTTCTTCTTCCTCATTTTCTAGAGTGACTTCTGTGCTATTCAGCCTGTTTTTTTTTTCTTCAGTCCTCCAAAACTCCTGTCTCCCCAGCCCATCTCCCACTTGCCAGGGGTAGGCCTTTAGGATAGCCTTCTGCTAAGGCTTACAAACTTTTCCCACCACAGCCATTAATTCTCAGCTCTGTTTATATAGTCCTTCCTTAACTCCTTCCTCTGAAAACTCCCTAATACCAGCTAGGGTCAATTATCACTTGGTTGCTAGGTCACAGGCCAGGCTGAGCCCAGCTTGCCTTAAAGGGCCAGGCAGCCTGTGATAGGACCAACAGGCCTGAGAGAAAGACAAATATATGGAGAGGGTAAAGATCTTTGGGGTACTGCTTCCAAATCCCTATAGTCCTTGTCTGAGACACAGATGACAGAGGAAATGGGATCCACGAAGTATGGAACAAGAGGAAAAATCCGCAAGACACACAGTAATGGTCATGATACAACACCCATCCACATAGCTTTGGATGATGACACACCATCACACCATGAAATGGGCTGGCTGCACAGTCTCGCTTGTAGACCGGTGCATGTTCCACCGCTCCCCCACCTTGCAGTGACTAGCATGGGGTGCAACGTTAGCTGGAAGCCTGCACAGCTGGCATGCCAGAGTCCGCTTTAAGGGTGCCTGGATGACTCAAGTGAGTAGTTAAATGATATGGAGCCTTTCACCTCTGTATCACAAGTTCAAATCCAGCCTAGGTCAGTAGTGCCCAAAAGTTGTTACCGTTTGCTGGCCTTTTGGCAGTCTTATGGGGGATGGAGCTCAGTGGTTTGAGCATTGGCCTGCTAAACCCAGGGTTGTGAGTTCAATCTTTGAGGGGGCCACTTAAGGATCTGGGGCAAAAATCAGTACTTGTTCCTGCTAGTGAAGGCAGGGGGCTGGACTTGATGACCTTTTGGGGTCCCTTCCAGTTTTATGAGATAGGTATATCTCCGTATATTATGTAAAACCATTTTGATGGTGTGAGTTCAGTTCCTAGTACCGAAAGATCAAATGGAAGCGGTGTGGGCCAAGGGACGTACTGGCCGCCGCTTCCAGCAGCTCCCATTGGCCTGGAGCAGCGAACCGCGGCCAGTGGGAGCCGTGATTGGCTGACCTGCGGACGCGGCAGGTAAACAAACCGGCCCGGCCCGCCAGGGGCTTTCCCTACACAAGTGGCACCCCAAGTTTGGGAAACACTGTTCTAATGCCTTCAGCACCAGTTCAAAGCGAGCCACCAGTTCCATTTCCTAGCACAGAGAGGTGTAACAAACCCTTCACTCTGTACATGCCACTTCCGTTCCGTTTTAACAGCTGTTCTGGGTTTTTTATTTTGGTCCGTAGAAAGCATGTTCAGTTTTACACTAGCCATAGTAAAAAACCCACTCCAGGTTACTATAGGAAATGCTGGTATAAGTTGCAGTGAGGTTTGAAATGTCCTTTTTCATGGGGGCGGGGCAGGAGGGGAGATAAAAGGGGGCCAGACCCACATCTGGAACCAGACAGAGATGGAGAGCAAGAGAGGAAGAGAGATAAAGGGAAAAGACTGCCAGGAGTAGAATGCGAACGCGTGCCAGCCTGTGTGGGAAGCTGCTGCTGTCATTTGGGAGGTTATTAAGGACATTCGTAGTGCAACACACGCGCCTGGATTCCCATCTGAGCAGCATCAATAAACTTTTTGTTTCATTCTCTTTGGACGAGGAGCCTTAATTAGGCATGAAGAAATTTATCAAGCGGCAGCCTCCTGGAGCAGGTTGGTCCCAATGACAGCTGGTGTGATGGCTTCCTGCACATTTCCAAGCAGCAGCAGCAAGAATTTATTAAGATCCACAGCACCCCCAGCCCCACCCATTTGACCGAGAAATCCAAACTGCATCCGTCTAATAGCAGCCATTGCAGAGGGGAAGGCAAATGTGAAACTCAGCCGCTCCCGTATCCTCTAACAAAAAGCCAACCCGCTGCATTGGCTTGTCTAGGCTCAGATGCTGGGTTAGTGCTGGGGGGTATTGGGCCAGTTGGCCTAGCCCTTTAGGTAAAGCAGGGATGGTAATGGAGGTTTTCAGTGAGTTTTTCAACTCATTGGCTACCGCTGTCCATTGGAGCTGGCCTGGCAGCTGTTCAGATGTCATTTGAGAGCTGCCTAGAGGGGCAACATACTGAGTAAGGTTTCACAGGATGGGGCTTTAGGGACAAACCTAGTAAAGCCAATGGGAGTCTTTCCAGATGCTTTTGTGCACACAAATAACTTATAACTGGCAGAACCTAAATATGATTGTTGCAGGTGATTATTGTGTAAAGCAGAGTCATTGTTTTAAACCACCAAACCTGATCCCACTGACGAGAATGGGGAGATTTGCCATTGAGTAAATACGAGCAGAATTTCACCCCTGGTTTAATGCATTTTGTTTCAAGAGTGAATGGCTGGGGTCCATTCCAGGAGCAGCAGTGTCACTGGGATACTCTGCCTGTGGAGTTGCTTTGTGTACAACTGGCATGTGCTTTGAGTCAACCAAACAGCAAGCCCTGGAGCTGTTACATATGGACCAGGAAAAAAAAATGCATTTTAAAAAAAAAAAGCCTCATTATGTAATGCCCTTGGCTAGACCTCATGAGGCTTTGCAGGTGTTTTAAAATATCTCGCAGGAAGACCTTTAAGTAATAGCCACACCTCCCTTTTAGCAAGGCAAGCAATCACTTTCCCTTCCGAGACCCCCGTCTCCACCGCAAGGCAATCAGGCTGTGCTACTGCCACAAACATGGCACAGGCAAGGGGGCCAGCGATGGTACTGTAGTAGCCTTTTATTTTCTAATCGGTTTAAAAATAAAAATCACACCATTTATTTTATTTCTGAAAAAAGTCATGGTAACAACAATCACTACCTGGCCTCGGGCCACTCGCTAAAGGTAGGGAGCTGAGGTTAAGAATCCGTGGCTTCACCTTTAGCCACCACGGCCTTCTAGCTGGGCATGAATGGCAGAGGAGATGGTCTGTCTTGAATGACCATTCATTACTCAGTTGCGTAAAGCCTCTCATGATCATAAAAGCAGATTTGGTTTTTGATGTTTCTTTCTTTTTAATCTCTTCCCATCCCTCAAAAAAGACAAGTAATTATATTAAGGTACAAGGTAGGATGTATATTCAGAATATCAAGATGAATTTAAAAATCTGGGCCTAAAAATAAAATAAGAGATATAATTTCCTTGGGTTAGGAAGAAACTTCTCCTACAGGCAGGTTAATCCATAATGGTACCTGCACCTTAATGTGAATCTGGTCGAACACTAATTAGTAGACTAGACAGTCTTACAGGCATGGCAATTTTTTGTTCATAAACATGACATATAGTTTTATCTTTTAAAAGTTATGGAGGCCGGCACTCAGATTTCAAAGGGACAATGTCAAGTAGTTTAACCCCACAATGTAGGCATGTAGATAACAAAAAAACGAATACAACCAGGAACTCTTTCACAATTAAAGACAACATTCTGTAATGCCATTCGTTGCTGTTGTAGTTTAAATTAAACCTTCTGTATTCTTTGTAACCCAAACTGCTTTCTGCTGACAAATGAGAGTTAGGAAAGGAAACTGGAATAGAAACAGGAAGTGAAATTGACTAACTAGATCAATCTAGTCTCAATGACAAACAAACAAACAAACAAACAAAAAAAGTGGAAAGCGAATTTGTTTTTTTAAGAACGACTTCACTCTTTTTACTGTAAGTAGTAATAGTAGTGCAGGGAAGGGACTGATTTATTTAAACTATGGGTGAAATTCACCCATGTGCGGAGGGCCAGCTTGATAGCTCTATACAGTACCACTTAAGTCCTACCTAAGTCTTCAAAATAAAGATTAGCTGGGTCTTAAGTAGTCCACAGGCTCATGGTGGTTCTCTGCTCAGACATGAATGTCACCTGTATGATTTAATCTTGACAGGATCCTTTTAAACCCTCACTTTTGAGCTTTTTACTTAGATGAGACTTAGGCCCATTATTAATTTTGGAGTAGGAAGGAGAAAGGGCTGTTTAACAGGTAGTGATTGGGAACCAGGAGTTACAATGTGCTTATGGTTTTCATGAGCTCTAGCAGATGCTGGGTCCCTTTGACTCGGGCACAGTGTAAGACTTAGCACTGACTGCACTGGTTTGCAGCAGCCCGCCTGTTACGTTCCAGTGTTTTCGCTTTTTCTATTAGTTCTATAGGAGAGGAATTAAAAACCATAAACACAGCATCCTTCTGAGAGCGTCAGGCCAGTCTGATCTTCACTAGCCCCTGTGTTGTCTCCTGCTCCCGGAACTCGTTTGACAGCCAACCTCATTCAAATCAGCCTGCCTTTGAGAGCCCCCTCCGGTGTCTCCTGGAGTCACAGTCATTAGGGTGAGTCTCATACTGCATCTCAAGGGCTCTGTCCAGAGTCCAGTGGCCTTTCCAAACAGGCTGCTCTGATTGTGGCATTCTTCTCACCAAACCACGTGGGATAGATCTCAACTGGTGACCATCTGGACGATGTCGTGTGCCATTCATCGGGAGGCAGTAAGGTAGCTCTGCTGCGGAGAAGGGACCACGGTGCTCTGCTGCGTGTCTCAGTTCTTGTCCAGTCACTCAGGCAACCTCTCAGCTGCTTAGCCACAAACAAAGGCTCCCTCCCCGCTCCCCCCACAACCCCATTATTAGCACTAAACCAAGAATACTGGGAAGTGCCAGCACCTGGGTTCTTGGCCAAACAGACCCTAACTACCCACCTTGGACCAGTCACACACATGGCCTAACATTTACCCATCACCCTCAAGTACTCTGAAAAACCAAGGTGACCTTTAAGCATTTTTGACGTCGTAGAACTAACTTCTTTCTGAGCCTAACCAGCCCCAGGCAAAGCCTTGAGCACGGGCAGCAGCTTCAGACTCTCCTGTAACTTGTCTGTCACCAAACACCAAACAGTTATAATACTCAGGTCAATATATATAGGCACCACGTATATATATTTTTGTCACTGTTCTGCACGTTAACAAAGAAAACCAACCCCACTAGCCGCTGCTCAACCTTTTCTCCCGCTCACCCTTTCTCCCGTGGTGTGTAGCCTGCAGGAACGTGAGCCACAGAAGCCTGTCTTACGTGGCCCCACCGCACTCGCCGACAGTCAGTTTCAAGGCTCCTTGCTGGTGCAGCGTCTTTAGGGCTTTGAACTCCAAGGGCATGGTGTGAGGGCTGGCCTGGGAGGTGTAGCCG